TTGGCTTTATATTATCCTAAATTTTAATGCAATTGAATCTAATCAAATGTAGATGTAATATTAATCTTAATGTAAATGAATACGTGTTTTGAGTTCATGATAAATTTTTAAACTCAGATGTGCTGTTATTTATTATATTGTCTTTTATTATTCATTGTATTTTCCAGAATTGTTTGTATATCCAATTCTACCTCTTCCAGATACATTTTAATTTTTTTTTTACATTATTCCAGACAACTGAACAGTTTAACCCAGACTGAAGACAAGGACCAACTGTCTCTAGTCTCTAGACCAGCATTGAGATAGGACAGTCACTTAGATGAGTTAGTTCCTTTTCAAGTTTTCCTCTGGAGAAAGAATAAAAGGAAGGGGTTGAGAGAGAGAGAAGAATAAAGGTGTTCCAGAAGAGACATGGACTGTCTAACATGTGCTTGGAGTAGTATCTGTAGACCCAGCTTGCTACAGACAAAAAATAGTCACATACATTAGGCTGCTTCTGTGTAGAAAGCACACTTCCTTTCTCCATCTTTAGTCTCTAACAAATACTCCACAGCAGCTATTCCCATGGCTCTGAAAGCATCATTGGTGCCGTCAGTATCTACAGATTACCTGAAGCATGCAGCAATATGCAAGCAGGTTACTTATAAGGATTACATTTTGTGTAAGAGACCAGCATGCATGCAGAGGTCTGGAAGCAACCTTCTGTGGACAGTGAACAGGGCTGTATGGAGAGAGGTGACGGAACTGTCATGGAAGGAGGCAGCATGTTGGGCTTGAAGATACAGCCAGTGGTTTACCACTGCTGCTGCGCAGGTCGTGAGTGTTCTGGACAGGAGGCAGGACTGTAGGCAACAATTACTCTAAATTCCTGAGCATGGCATCTGGCCTGTGGTAACTGGCAATAAATATTGTTTAGTTCCTTCCTTCTCTTCTTTTTTTAAAAAGTGAGGTTTTTTATTTGTTTTTGTTTTAATTATAGATAAAAAGCCACTTAGGTGACTTTTAAAAATCTGTGTTGTGGGAGGTCGTTCCGCTCCTCCAGCCAATAGCCGCTGAGATACCTGCCCATTGGGGCGTGGTCTCTCTTTGAAAAAGCGGCCACTTCCCTTCTATTTCTCTTGCCCCCCCCCCCATGCTTCCTGCTCCGTTTCCAGCAACTAGACTCCTTCCTGATTGCGCAGAGGTTTGTTGTCAGGGACAATGATTTGTAAGTTTTTCTCCATTAAATAAATACCACCCTATTAATCATAATTCCAAACGAGTGTGGGATGGTTTGTGACTTACTTCAAATCTGTATCCATTCATGACAATATTTAAAGAGCTCCTGTCCTCCCCGTACTCTCTGTTCTACTATTGGAGATACATACAGAAGAGGCTATGTAAACACTGGTTATGTGGCAGTACCTGCTTTGGTATCCACAGAATGCTAAGTCATGTCCACTGTTCCAGGCATTTCCATGGCTTTCCCCTCAACATCTGGACCTATGGAATGCCCTCCAAATCCCTCCACTGGTCACCATTCCTCCTGGTTTGATCTCCCCAGCACACTGGGCATGCATGTTACCCCACATCGCAGTCCTGTTCTCCCTCTGCATTTGCTGGTGCAGCTGCCTAGAAGGCTCCTCTCTCAGAAACTCAGCCTTGGTCTCCAGAGACTTCCAGGACTTGAGGCCAGCGTCATCTCTCAGAAAGCCCTGCCTTGATCACTCTGCTTGACAGGATGCCATCTCTAATGGCAAAAATCTTAATTTCCATTTAAATGATTTCTCGCTGTCATTTAAAATCACACTGTCTCTGACACAGGTGTTTCTATCACTGATTTAAACCTTCACAGTAATATAAAATCTACCAGGAGAAAGACCCTTTCCTGTTTCTTCATGGCTGTTTCCCCAGTGTCTAGAGCAATGTTTGTCTCATAGTAATTTTTTATTTCTGAGTGAATAAATAAACTCCAGAAGCTTTTTTGCTTATTACAATTACATTTTTTACATGATCATTGAACCATCAGAGCAAACCTTTGGCCATTTGACCACAAACAAAATAGGTCACTCACTACTCATGCCCCCCTTTCAGTTTCTCTTTGCTGACAGATCTAATCACCTTGCTTCAAATTTACCATGGTGTGAGCCCTTTAGCTAAATGGGTCCCGGTGGTTTCACAGTTATGCTTCTGCATCAATATTTTCTATTCAAACGCTATTTTCTGTTTCTATTCTACTATTGTTTTTTTTTTCCTTCAGGTTCATTCCCAGATTATTGAAGTTTAAAATAATGATTTTTTTCGCTAGTCTGTGTTATTAGGATACATTTTTTTTCCTAGTCTTCTTGACTTGGGATCTTAGACAGTAGCGTTTGAGAAGAGCTTCCTTATCTTTCTCTATATTCATTTTCTTACACTCTTCCTCTACTTTTGCTAGGCATGATGGGAAAACCAAGACTTGCTTTTTCACAACAACAACAACAAAAACTGTTGCTATGAATTCCCCCTACACTTATCAAAACAGCAATTCCCTCCACTTTCTGTTCACCCTATGTAAACATTATAATGAGGCTTATTTGCTGACTCGAAGACTTTCTTCTTGACTCAGACCATTGGCAATGTACAGAATTCTAACAAGAAGCTCTGGAGTTGAAGTCCAGAGTCACAACACATAGAATCGTCAGGTTGGAAAGCAACTGCTTTAAGACGGATGCCAGTGGGTTCACTTAGCCAGCAGAATGAAATAGTGTGTCGTGATCATTTAATAGACTTTCTGCCTGAGCTTCTGGCCTCTTACATCTCGGCCATCCTCAGATCGTGTGCTTCATCTGAACAACCTTCCATGTTTCTTTACCTCCTATCACTAAATCCTCTGGTAGACAAGAGTGCTGCTTTCAGTCAGTGTTGAAGGGTTAATTCCTGACTGTCTTTGGTACCTTGTGTGATACATCTGTTTAAAACCGTTATACTTTGCAATATAGAAACAGCCAGCTTTTAAAAAAATTAAATAAAATTACACACACACACACACACACACACCAGTAGCAGCAGCAGCAGCTTTTCATTTAATTCAAGTCTTCAATTTTGACTGTGCCATATCCCCAAGATTACCCTCCTTTCTGGGAGACAAAGACATTAGCCATTAAATCTTCACTCTGCACTGTGAAGGAACTCTGAGGTTGCAGTGAAGTACAGCTGGGCCACAGTGTCCACATTCTGTAGGTGAACTCGGAACTGGCAACTGATTGCATCAACATCTCTTAAAACACAACTTTGCTCATGTAAGTAAAATATTCTTTCTTCAGGATTTTCAACAAAGTCTGAATAGGGGAAGTGATGGGCAGGTTTCCTGCTGCCTAATCGAATAAAAATGGAATGGATGACCTTGCCAGAATTGTGGTTTTCTGCAGGCAGACTGCCACAGTATTTAACACTAACATAGACGTAGACCTGCTTCTCTCCTTCAAAGCAGTGACTTAAACCCACACGTTTCACAGGAAAATTTTAACTCTCGAAGATAATTCAAATGCCGGAGAAGAAAAGCTGCTTACCTGGGAGAGGAGCTGGAGGGGATGCCTTCTTAGGCTCCTGGGTCCTGTCTAGGTTTAAGTTATCGTAGACCACTGATGCATCCATTGTAGGTGGAGGGACTTGACAGTGAACTTGTGGACAGGTACAGACTCCAAGGTCTGTGAGTTGAAATAAGCGAAAAAGGAAGTCCGCTGCGCACTCTCTGCTGTGTGTGTCCACACCCACCCACATTGGTAGCTGGGGGTTTCTCCTTGGTTACTGACCATGGTGCCTGTCTTGCTCACAGAGCTTAATTTTTTTTTTTAAGGAAAGAATTGCAACATACAGGACACAGAGTTTGGTTTTTAAACACATTTCTGGGAAGGGCTTTTTTTTTTGTTCCTGTCCCTCTGTCAGTTATAAGTTATCCCCTCAGAACTCCGATGAAATATTCATCTTGGATTGAAATTTACCTTGCTCCTGAACTCGCAGGGTTCAGATGCCATTCTGTGCTGTGTCATGAGACTGAGGGTTAAACATGAAAGCCTACAGTGCTATTTGGCATCGGTTGAAACTCTGAAATCCTCCTGAAATGTCCACACTGTGAAAGGAGCTGTGGAGTGTGGAGCTGCAGACGGGAATGGGGGAAACCTCGTGACTGACGCAATAGGAAGAGCAGTGATAGGAGCAGCGTGGGCCACTCAGAGCAGTCCTGAGTGAAAGGACTTCATCTATCAGAGCGACAGGGAGCTGAGGACACAGCTCTATGCGATGTGCTAACTCCTCCACGGATTTCTAGACCCAGAGCCTTAGAGCCGGACCACACCTAAGTCAGACAGTCTCATATCACAAGTGAAAAAGAAGAAGAAAAGCGAGGATTTCCTTAAAGTCACTTTCTGTGGTTGGAGTGGAATTGTGCAGGTGCGCACAGTTACATGACCGTGGCTGCAGTCTGCAGGCTGTGCATTCCAGGAGTCAGGTGCACACTCATGGCGTGGAGAGCACATTCATTTCCCGAGGCTATTGATGGTTACAAAGTGAGGTGAAGCCCGTGTGCGGGTCTCACAGCACACATCGTGACTCAGTGGAACCTCCTCAGCTGTCACTCTTTGTTGACAGTCATTTCACCCAACGCCAGGCACGGAGTTCTGTCTCATTCTCCAT